GGGAGCGCCGCCATGCTCCCAAGCGGCGCACTGTAGCAGTGCGCCACTGGGCCGGCCCCCAATTGTTATCTTTAATAAAAGCAATTTTCATCAAACAATGTGCCTCAAAACATCATACTTGTGTAGAGGAAGGAAGAGGATATCTATTAAAAAAAAGTTGAGAGCTTTTGTTCTGTGTTTTAACAATGCCCTCTAGTGCTCGGCTCCAACAAAAATTGATTAACCAAGTTATTTACTGAGTACATAGCATGAGGTTCATGATGGGAGGGATGGAAAGGAGCACAAGGTTTTGTTCCTGTCCTGAATTAGTTTATCCTCACATTCAAGTTCCAAAACACACACTTGAAAATGAACGAGTTGAAGGCAGCACAGCAGAGTAGGGTTCAAGCTGTCTGCCCACAGTGGACTTGCCGGCAGACAGCTTGAGTTTAAATCATTGCTCTGCCACTTACTAACTCTGTGACATGACCCCAGGCAAGTCACCTGTCCTCTCTGTGAGGATATGGTGAGAATGAGTTGAGTTTATGTTTGCAAGGAGCTTTGAGATATCTCAAAGACAGTAAACTCTCCATGGCCTACTCTTCCAGTTTTATTCTGGAAAACATAACCACTGCCGTTCTCTTCAACTCAAGCCTTCCTCTTCGATCCCTTCAGTTATTGAGGCTGGAAACTGGCAGCACTAAGCCGAAGCTCTCCACCCAGTTAGAATAGTGTGGATTCTACTGAAATATCTCTTGAGTTTTCCTTCTCTTGCCAATTCCATTCATTATCCCAGTTCTTAAATTTAACATTCCTTGCCTGGATTACTGCTTTAGCCACTAAATGATCTTCCTGTGTCTACTCTCCAAAACTTTATTTATATTGCCACCAATAATTCCCTAAAATCAAGGTTAAATCATGTCACATTTATTTTCAAAAACCTTTAATAGCTGCCCAACAGAATAAAGGTCCATTCTTTAGTGTTGCAGGGTCTTTATGGTCTACATTTTTAGTCTTATCTTTTCTTCCGCATTCTTCAGGAAGCCATCCTCTGGACACACTGAGTTGCTTTCTAAACAAATCATGAACTGTTCTGCCTCCCTACCTTTCTCAGTCTGTCCACTAGAATAAAATGTCTCTCTCCTTTGCCTTCCCCTCTTCTCCTCCTGACTTCAAAGTTTAGCTCAAAAACCAACTCCTTCATCCGCCTTGCTCATTTTGCCCAGGGGAGACAACTGTCCCTTCATCTTCAAGATCACAGTGCTGTGCTTGGGCTGTTGTTATACCACGTACTTCATTCTATCTTCTGTCAGTGGTATGTCCTCCTTCATCACATCACTGCTTTCTTGAAGGCACAGACCACGTCTCACTTATAGCTGCACCAAATATGGCCTGAGTGTGTTGCATATAGGTTTGTTTTTTCTCCTTCACCAAATATTTGTTGAATGTTTAAATAGGGGGAAAAAAGATCAGGTGTATTAGTCAGGGTTCTCCAGAGAGACAGAATCAATAGGATATGTTATAATTATATGAAAGGGATTTATTAGGGGAATTAGCTCACGTGGCTATGAAGAAAAGTCCCATGATAGGCCGTCTATAAACTGGATGCTGGTAGCGTGGCTCAGTCCAAGTCCAAAGGCCTCAGAACCAGGGAAGCTGATGGTGTCCTTGGTGTAAGTTCTGGAACCCAAAAGCTGAAGAGTCTCAAGCTCTGATGTTCACGGACAGGACAGAAGAGTGTATCCCAGCTCCAGCGGATCAAGAGAGAAAACTTCACCTCTTTCCTCTTTTGTTCTCTCTGGACCCCCGGTGGATTGGATGGTTCCCACCTACACTGAGGGTGGGTCTTTCACACCCAGGCCACTCAGACTCTCATATTAATCCCTGCTGGAAACACCCTCATGGACACACCTGAAAAGATAGCTTTACCAGGTTTCAAAGCATTCCTTCATCTAACCAAGTTGACATCTAGAATTAACCTTCACACCAGGAAAGATCAGCCAGGATAACCAGGTCTGATAACAAAGGAGTATTTTCTTAGGAGTAGCTTGATTCTTCCTTGCTCCTGGAATTGATTAATATTATTTTGTATGTCAACAATAATATTATGTCTCCTTTATTTTTCTGCACTGTATATAGTTCCTTTAAAACATATATCTATCTTCACACATGTATATAAACATATATATGTATGTATGTATTTCTTACATATATGGGTGTGTGTTTCTTAATATATAGATGTGTATGTATATGTCTTAATATATACATATATATGAATATGTGTATGTTTCTTGATATATATGGGTGTTTGTGTCTTATCTATATAGGTGTGTGTTTCCTAATATACATATGGGTGTGTGTGTTTCTCAACATAATATGGGGGGGTGTTTCTTGTGTGTGTATATATATATATATGGGAAGTGTTTCTCATATATATGTGTATATGGATGTGTGTGTGTTTCTTATGTCTTGAGTCTTTCTCATTCATTTTCTATGTCTAGCAGCTAGCTTAGTACAAGCACAAGAGCTACAGAATAAATATCTACTATATTTGTGAAATGCCAATAAAGCTCTGGGGGAGGCCCCACGACGAAGGAAGAGATGGGCTTTGATCCCCAGAATTGGTGTCTAAACCAGCACCTGGCATATAGCAGGAGCACAATAAACATTTGTTCTAGCTAAATTGAAGGTGTTCAGGAGCAAGATACTGTTCAAAATTACCTTCCTTTTTATGAGTTTGTTCATTTTCATTTTCTTTGTATGTTTTCCAGTTGAAAATGACCCACATTTTATCATTTATCTACCAAAAAGCCAAAAGAATATTTGTTTCAATATTGACTCAGAACCTGGAAAAATCCTCAACCTGGTTTCTGACCCAGAATCAGGTAAAATAAAAAGAAATTATATTTGAATTAGACAATTAGATAATTGTCATGCTTTCCTGTCACTACCTGGGGTTTCTTTCTCTCTCACCTGAACAATTATAGTTCAAAATACATACTCTGAGTATGAACTGGCAGATCTTATTGTGATACAATTATTTTAAACTATAATATATATTAGTTATAATATATAAAATGAGAATTATAAAGGAAAAAATTTATGTAAATCATGAGGCAAAATAATAATTTTCCTATACTGTCAAGTTTTATAAATTTAAATTATGATACTCACACATGCAAAAAAAATGTCACACAAGAAACTTTTTTTCTGTAGGGATTTTAGTCAATGGTCAGCTCATTGGAGCCAAGAAGCCCAAGAATGGGAAACTAAGCACCTATTTTGGAAAATTGGGATTTTATTTCCAAAACGAAGATATGAAGATAGAAATCAGCACTGAGACCATCACCCTGAGCCGTGGTTCTCGCACGTCTGTCTTGTCCTGGTCTGACACAGCCTACCTGGTTAATCAGAGGCAAGTATGATTGCACCTGCATTCCAGCCTGTCCTTGACACATGACTGCAGAAATAAATCTAGACATCAGAGACATCACATAGAACTTTAAATTGTCACTTTAAGTATAAGGAAGTCGAGATTCAGAAAAATTGTTCTTACCTACTACCCTGTTCCTGGCAACAGGGACTGTGATTTTTGGTCACCGTTGTGTCTCAGTGCCTAGCCTAGTGCATGGTATACAGTAAGTACTCAATGTTGGATCTGTGAACGAATCCATCAACTGAAATCCATAGCTGACTCTATGTCAGAGAGTGCTCCACACACTGTGGTGTGTCCTATGTGTGGTATCTTCCCAATTCGTTATCTGTTCATTGATTGTATATCTACAAACATGTAAATGGGCAGAATTTTAGAGCGGGGAGTTAAGACAACAACATTCCACAGCAAAAACGTTGTAAAGTTCTTAGAGAGCCAGTGGAATTGTACCGGGAGGAACGGAGAGTTCGTGTTAGGAGTGAGAAATACGACTTTGTGAAAAAGTCTGTTCTGGAATCATCGAATTGCATTTTGACTTTCACGCTAGGGTGCTTGTCTCTGTGAAGAAAGAAAAAACTGTGACTATCACCCTGGATAAAGAGATGTCCTTTTCTGTTCTACTTCATCGTGTTTGGAAGAAGCATCCGATCAATGTGGACTTTCTGGGGATCTACATTCCCCCCACAAACAAGTTTTCACCTAATGCTCATGGACTAATAGGTAAGTGCCAATTGGCCATCTGGCACACGAGGGACTTCTCTCAGTCTTTAGTAACTTTGACTGACGGCCGTTAGAAGTTGGTACAGTGTTAGGTGTGGACTTAAGGGCACAGAGGACCAACACAGCAGTGGAGGGGACTCAGGAATGCGACAGTCAGGACCACCTGCCATCCCACACAGGGAGTTCCACGGCCAGGACCTCAGCATCACAAATTGCACAAGTTAAGAGAAGGGACAGATAAATTTTAAGTTTTATGCTGAAGAATTTTTTCTAACTGAAGAGAGGTGACCTGCTTTAGGAAGTCTTTGATAACAAGCAGAGCATCCTGGACATGACAACATGAACCTTGTCCTGTGACTTGAGCTACATCACCCCCTGCCATCAGGGCGGTCAACTTATTTATGGCCCAGTAGATCAACCTCATGTACAAAAAGCGACCACAGGGAGATCTGCTGTCAGGAAGGACCCCTCCCTCCCTCATTATTCCTTTTCCCTCTCCTCACGTCTTTCTACACTAGGAATTCTGAAGGGAGGATCCACTGCGTGGACCCAATGACGAGCCTGTCTTTTTACCTAACCTTGGACTCCACGTAAATAAATGTCTGGGCTTTGTTTCACTAGGCCAGTTCATGCATGAGCCAGAAATACATATCTTCAATGAGAGACCGGGAAAGGACCCCAAGAAGCCAGAGGCGAGCATGGAAGTGAAAGGACACAAGTTGACCGTTACCAGGTAGGTCTCGGATGCTTAAGACAGTAACCAAAGGGCCCCTGGTAGGACTGGACTTACTCAGAGAAACGGAAGAGTAAGAAAAGCTGTTTTAAGCACCACCTCTGTCAAACTAAACAGTTCATCAGGAATAGACACATAAGCATTTGCAAATAAGGACACACTTCTGATAGCCCATCGTAAATGCAAATTACTACTACATATATATGTTGTAAAATGCCAAGATTCATTAATCTATTGTTCTCATCTTCATACATTAGAAGCCCTAAGGTCACAGGTCAGGTAACTGAAAAAGTTGACCCAAGGAGAGAATCATAAAAATACCTATGTAGCTCCATAGTGCTAGAGAATGAATGTGTATTTTTCATAAGGCTAAAGCTTTCTTTTTGAGTATGGATCTACTGAATGCTCTCTTGGTAGTTTTTCTTACACAAACTATATCCATATGCTTCATTTTAAGTGAGCACTTAGAACTTATAAAGCATTCCGAGTATAAAATTCTTATAAAACTTTATCTTTTCTCAGTCTTTTACAGTTGTCTCACCCATGCCTAATTTGATATCATTTTAAAGCATTTTTTACCTTTTTAGAGTTTTTTTTTTTCCTTTTTGTCTTTTTTCGTGACCAGTAACGGGATTGCAACCCTCAGTGTCGTGCCCGTACTGCGACCGACAACAGGATTGCAACCCTCGGTGTTGCGCCCGCACCTCGCTCAGCCAGTGAGCAGACCGGTCTCTATATGGGATCCGAACCCTCGGCGGGAGCGCCGCCACACTCCCAAGCGCCACACTGTACTGAGTGCGCCACCGGGCTGGCCCTTTTTTAGAGTTTTTATGAAGCAGCCAACTTTGTCTTATTAGAAATGATGCTTTTTGCACACAGATGTCATTGGATCAACTATATGCTGATAAAAAATAAATAAAAAAAATTAAAAATAAACAAAAAGATGTCGTTGGCTTCCACATAATTAAATCATAACATTACAATAATAATTAAATGATAAAATGACAATAACAAGTACCACCACAAAAATAGATTGTGAACTAAAATAATGGATTCTTAGTGAATACACTACTTAGCTGGTGTCAGTTTACCAGACAGAGGGCAAAGTGACCACTGCATCAGTGAGCATGACTCATAGAATTGCAAGTACCAGTTAGTAATAGTAATAAGAAGTGATATGAGTTTGACAGAAGAGCCTCTACTGAACTCTAATGACAAAAGATAGATGTCATGTCTCAGTTTATCCACTGTGAGCTTCTTGTGATGCACAGTGAAACCGAGCTGACCTGGGCTATGCACAATTATACGAGGGGACTTCAAAAAGTTCATGGAAAATTTTGTATTATCTTTCAATTCTATTTTTCTACAAACTTTTTGAAGTCTCCTAGTAAACTTTTAAGGCTCATTAATGGCCATGTGCCATTTACCTTTTCAAATCATCAGCTTCTTTGTCCTTCAAGCGGAGGACGTGAATTTGCTCAAAAACAGCTGGCCTCGCCCTTAAATAAAATAGTCATCCATAAAGTGAAGGTAAGAGGTGCCTCAGGTTCATTCTTGAGGTAACATGAGTTTAGCCTACACCACTTTGCAGTTTTACTCCTGCTTCCATTTGGACTAATTTGCTGCTCTTTATCTTGCTGGAAAAGTCTACATGGATCAACCTCTATAAGGTTATTCAAAAGCTCTAAGATCACACTGCCCACTCCCTGTTAACACCAAACCCCAGCCTCTGTCGTTTCGTACGACTTGGGAAGCAGAGATGAGTAGGGTGTGGGCAGACATGGTGATAGAAGGGATGCAAAGAACAGTGGAGGAGAGAGAGTGTCTTGTGTCCAGATGCCCAGCCGGCGTGCCTTGGTCTGTTCCCTAACTGTCCATGTTGTTTGCTTGCAGAGGCTTACAGAAAGACTACAGAACGGATATCGTGTTCGGAGCAGATGTTCCCTGCTGGTTTGTGCACAACAGCGGAAAAGGTTTCATTGATGGCCACTACAAGGATTACTTGGTGCCTCAGCTCTACAGCATTCTCAAAAGGCCTTAAAGGTTTTGAGTTTTGGGAATTATATGTATAAAAATACATCTTCCCTGCTACTTTTGTAGTCTTTCTTCAGTGTGAATCATTAAAAAGGAACCAGATATCATGGTGATCTATAAAGCCCGTTAACACATCTGAAGAAAATAAATATTTTGCAGAGAAGCTTCAGGAGTTCGTTGCATTTTCAGATGCCAAGGGGTGTTCATCGGGGTGATGTGAAGGAAAGCTGCTTTGACAAGTCAAGCTGGCATCCAGGGAGAGCCGTAGATTTGGCATTTGCTATTGTTGAATGTCAGGCCCTCAGCCTTGCAGATTAAGCACATTTTTACAGTTAGTTACATGTAAAATTCAATTATGAGGTTATTTGATGAGCAGGAAATATGACTAGGGGAAGTTACTAAGCAACTACGTTGCTTTGTAGAGATTTATACTACAACCCTGTCACCCTCTGTAGGGATAGCCTTGCCAAGGTACCTGCAATGACCCTATAGGCTTAGCTGAGATTCTCTCCATAGTGTTGGACCCTGAGACCTTCTTTAGTTCATGAGGCCTGGATTAGTCAGGATTCTCCAGATTACATCGTTTCCATTACCTACTTCAAAAATACTAACCTTAAAATGCAAATATTCAACAAAACTTCAAAAGTGGGTTCTTATAATTCTATTACTTGGTTAAAATCTTAACTTTAAAACTTCTACCTTTAGATATATGTTTAATTTTTTTTTTTCCTTTTTTTTATTTTGTCTTTTTTTTTTTTTACTGACCGGTAATGGGATTGCAACCCTCAGTGTCACGCCCGTACTGGGGACCGGCAATGGGATCGCAACCCTCGGTGTTGCGCCCGCACCTCGCTCAGCCAGTGAGTGGGAACCGGTCTCTACATGGGATCCGAACCCTCAGCGGGAGCGCTGCCACACTCCCAAGTGGCACACTCTCCAGTGCGCCACCGGGCCGGCCCAGATATATGTTTAATTTGATTCCTAGTATTTTATGTGTGCTCAGTGGGTTTAAAAGTAATGATGAAAATCTTGGGGTGTATATTTATATGCAGGATATTGGGTAGCAGAGTCCTATCAAAAGAAACTAAATTTAAAATCAAATCCATATATGCGATTCAAATTACCAAAACTTTTAATAGCTGGTGTTTTGATATTCATTGCCTGTAAAAGAAATATTATTAATAATTGTTCACATGTATCCCTGTTGAGACCAGAAATCTGTCTTCTTGAATTATAAATGAATAATCAACTTTGGATTTCAAACAAAGAAACCAAATTAATGGAAATAGTTGGAAAGGGACAACTATTCCACTGTCTACCTCCTGATTAATTTCTGAAAGTGTTATGCCTTTCAGCAATGAAGAAAAACAACTTAACAATGACCTATATTATGTTTGTTTACTCTTTAAAGCACCTTGTAACTGATTGGTGACTAATATTAAGTTTTGTATAGATTACTGGTATTCAATTTAAATCTCAGCTGGGTAGTATAGGGCTGCTATTTGTGAGATAAATGAATCATCTTAAGGACTTACGTAGCCTATGTTCAAAGCTTTTCCTAAGTATCAATCTACACAGTTGCCATTAAACCAATAAAAGATATGTGGCTTATTGTCAAGAAAATGTAAGCCTTAATGTTTGAGAAAAACCAGACTTGGCTCAGATCATAACTTGGTCACAAATTTGTTTTTAATTCTGTTAAATTACTGAAAATTAAAATGTTTCCTTAGGATTGGGAACTGTCAGTCCAAAGAAACAACTTAATGAACAGAAATAAAAAGCATCTCATTCAATGTGTAGTAAAAATGAACTAAGAATCAGGCGTTATTTTATTATCTATTTAGGTGTTATGCAAATCACTCTACATGCTTTAATGGATCACTTGATACCATTAAAGTGGAATCTTCCCTTCAGCCTTATCCCAAAGAAGGGATATCTGAGTGACTCCAAAGATCCAGCAAAATCAAAGTAGAAATTACCTGGCTTTCTGGGTACATATAGATGCTTACATGCTGTAAGAATTTAGTACTGTTTTTCTTTTCTTAACACTTTTCCACACCGGCTAAGTATATTTAGTGACTTTTTCTGAAATACCCACATAAGAAAAAGAAAAATCAAGGATGCTTCCTTTAATGGTATAATGATTCAGTTATCCAATTCACATTTCTAGGGTCATTTCAGTCTACCTAATGACTCACAATCAAGGCTGATTCATATTCTAATACTGTAATTCCATTTTACCAGAGTAGGAACTGGGGTGTACACTGCTATCAGTTAAGGGTCTCTTAAGCCCAGCAAAGTCAGGGCAGATTTTTAATTAGCTGCTTTAGATTATCAAGATTCTGGGTTTTTTTTCTTCCTTTTTGTCTTTTTTCGTGTCCGGCAACGGGTCGCAACCCTCAGTGTCGCGCCCGTACTGGACCGGGACCGGCAACGGGATCGCAACCCTCGGTGTTGCGCCCACACCTCGCTCAGCCAGTGAGCGGGAACCGGTCTGTATGTGGTATCCGAACCCTCGGCGAGAGCGCAGCCGCGCTCCCAAGTGGCGCACTGTAGCAGTGTGCCACCGGGCCGGCCCTAGATTATCAAGATTCTCTTTACTGGCCTATCATTTTATTTAAATATCACTGAACACTAGCCGCGCTCCCAAGTGGCGCACTGTAGCAGTGTGCCACCGGGCCAGCCCTAGATTATCAAGATTCTCTTTACTGGCCTATCATTTTATTTAAATATCACTGAACACCGTCAGTTCCTATACAACCTTAGGTCTACACCCGCTTCTCACTCCTATCTCTAGCACCAAGTATAGTGGCTTACATACCAGAGGCACTCAGTAAATGTTAGCAGAATGGATTTAACTCAACCTTGTTAGCAAAAACGAATAGGCAGTTAGAACTAGATGCCCGAAGATAAGGGAAAAATCAGCAAAAAGGGCAATGGGATTTGATGGCATTCTTGTAAACAAAACCCAAGGAATGTAGTCTGCCAGGGCAGCAATGCCAAAAATTTGATACAACCTCAAGCAAGCTGATGAAAAAGGATAGCTTTCAAAATATTGAGAAGACAAGCCACAGACTGGGAGAAAATATTTGCAAAAGACATATCTGATAAAGGACTGTTACCCAAAATATGAAAGAACTCTTAAAACTCAACAATAAGAAAATGAATGATCCAATTAAAAAAATGGCAAAGACCCAAAAAGACATTTCACTAAAGAACGTATACGGATGGCAACTAAGCATATGAAAAGACACTCAACATCATAAGTCAAAAGGGGACTGTAAATTAAAACAATGAGATACCAGTACACACCTAGTAGAATGGCCAAAATCCAGAACACTCACAACACCAAATGCTGGCAAGGATGTGGAGCAACGGGAGCTCTCATTCAGTGCTGGTGGAAACATAAAATGGTGCAGCCACTTTGGAAGACAGTTTGGTGGTTTTTACAAAGCTAAACATACTCTTAATGTACAGTCCAGCAATCATGTTCATTGGTATTTACCCAAACGAGTTGAAAACTTACATACACACAAAAACCTGCACATAGACGTTTATAGCAGCTTTATTCATAACTACCAAAACTTGGGAGCAACCAAGATGCCCTTCAGTAGGTAAATGGATAAACTGTGGTACATCCAGACAATGGAATATTATTTACCACTAAAAAGGAATGAGCTATCAAGCCATGAAAAGACATGGAAGAACCTTAAATGCATACTAAGTGACAGAAGCCAATATAAGGCTACATACCGTATGATTCCAACTATAGGAAATTCTGGAAAAGGCAAAACTATGGAGACAATAAAAAGATCAGTGGTTGCCAGGGGTTTGGGGAGAGGAAGGGACGAGCAGGCAGAACAGAGGACTTTTAGGGCAGTGAAACTATTCTATATGAAACTATAATGGTGGATACACTTCATTACACATTTGTCAAAACCCATAGAAACTGCTCTAAAAAATAAAGTCTATTTTTTAAAAAGAATAGCTTATAATGCTTCAAAAACAAAAGTCAACATGAGTCCTGATTTCAGTTCTCTGTAGCCATTTTGCTTAACACAACTACTGTTGGGCTCTAAAAACTTAGAGAGAAAAAATGTTCTTAAGTCTACAAGCATGTTTTTATGCTTCAGATATTTTTTATTTAATTTAACCTGAAGTATGCTACTTTATTTCATTCTGAGATAACTTCAGGAAGATGTTGAGGAAAAGAATTAAATGTGGGAGGAGGTGGGCATGAGACATTTCTCTGAAGAAATCCACTGAGTTGATTCCAAGCTTACAGATTTGGAAGAGGCATATATAATTTGTCACCTTTACTCATCCCACTGTTAACAGGGAGAACCAATCTCCTTACTGAAACTCTTCAGGTCAGATTTAGACTAAGCCAGGCTCAACTACTTGGCTCCATTTACTTACACGACACTACCACTCACTACAATTCACTACCATTTACTGAACACCTGCTATGTGCTGGGCTTTATGTCTGATACTTTTTTTTTTTTTCCTTTCCTTTTTTTTCTTTTTTTTTTTTTTCCTTTCCTTTTTTTTTTTTTTTTTTTTTTTTTTTTCCTTTTTTTTTCTTTTTTTTTTTTTTTTACTGACCTGTAACGGGATCGCAACCNGGAACCGGTCTCCACATGGGATCCGACCCCGCGGCGGGAGCGCCATCGCGCTCCCAAGCGGCGCACTCTCCAGTGCACCACCGGGCCGGCCCATATGTCTGATACTTTACATTTATTTTCTGTAGTTCTCACATCAACCCTGCAGGGACACATTATTTTTGACAATTTAAACATTAAAAACATTGCAATTCAAGAACATTAATGTGCTAAGATTACATAGCTAATGAACAGACCAGCCAAAATTTGATATAGTCTATCCAATTCCAAAACCCAGTTGCTTTCCATGATACTGCACTGTCGAGTTATTTTGGAAAAACTAATGCATGCCTGAAGAATCTTCTGTAAAGCTACCGATCATCCTATTACTATCGCCTCTTATGTTTCTGCTACCAGCATATATTCTCCCACCTTCTGATAATAGAAGTTATCAGCCCTCCCCCACTCTCAGTCCAAGAGAGATGGCCCAGGGGCTGGCACAGAACCCCCAGTCTAGCCAATCAGTATATTCCCATTCTCTTATTGGGAGTGACTTGTCCAG